TATAAAAAAAATGTTCTGAAACAATTTTTTGTAATGATGTTTCTGAAAGTGATTTCGAAGAATCTCTAAAGGATTGCAAGAAAACTATAATTGATGTTGATAATGATTATAAAAAACAATTTGTACCATCTTGGTGTTCCGGTAAGCCACAAGCTTTGCCTTTAAAGTTAGTTCAGCACAGATTTAGGACAGTTGCTGATTTGAAATCATTGTATAGGTGGGAGGAGCAAAATAAAGATGTTTTGAATCAATTTAAAAAATCCTCTGAGACATTCTTATTCAGGACATTGATATAAAAAGATGGATTTTACGGGATAGAGAAGACAATGTCTGTAATTCCGATTAATCCGGATTTAATTTAGAAACACATGCAGGTCGCAGACTTGCTATAAAAGGAGCGTTGAAAGTCGAGTGTTTAGCGCAATCTTTAAATTCTTTGACGCAATGCTATAATAGAATTTTGAAAATTATCGATGAAAATTGCATTATCGAAAATTTTATCAAAACTTCAAATTTTGTTTTCTCAAAAACTAAAGGATATTTTTCAAAACGGGGTGGTTCATTGGAAAGAGGACACTTTTATTAACACTTTGGGAAATTTTCATACACATATTCCATGAATTAGATTTTATACGAATTTTTAAAACTTAATCGGCGAAAATTGCAAAATTCGATAAAATTGTCGATCATTTCAAAAATTTTTTTCTTAAGAACCGACAGTGATTTTTCAAAACGGCTTGTTGCATTAAAAAGAGGATACTTTAATTAATAATTGGTGATATTTCCACAAGGATCCTTCAAGGAATTAATTTTATACCGAATTTTGAAAGTTATCGATAAAAATTGCAACTTCGAAAATTTTATCAAAACTTCAAATATTGTTTACTCAAAAACTAAAAGTAATTTTTCAAAACGTGTTGGTTCATTGGAAAGAGGACATTTTTATTAACACTTTGGGAAATTTTCATATTCCTATTCCAAGAAATCGATTTTATACGAATTTTTAAAACATAATCGGCGAACATTGCAAAATTCGTAAAAATTGTCGATCATTTCAAAAATTTATTTTTCAAGAACTCAAAGTGATTTTTCAAAACGGCTGCTAGCATTAAAAAGAGGATACTTTAATTAATAATTGGTATTATTTCCACAAGAATCCTTCAAGAAATTAATTTTATAGCGAATTTTGAAAATTATCGATGAAAATTGCAACATCGAAAATTTGATCAAAACTTTTAGTTTTTTCTCAAAAACTAAAAGTTATTTTTCAAAACGGGTTGGTTCATTGGAAAGAAGACACTTTTATTAACATTTTGGGAAATGTTCATACTCATATTCCAAGAAATCGATTTTATACGAATTTTTAAAACTTAATCGGCGAAAATTGCAAAATTCCAAAAAATTGTCGTTCGTTTCAGGAATTTATTTCTCAAGAACTGAAAGTGATTTTTCAAAACGGCTTGTAGCATTAAAAAGAGGACACTTTAATTAATAATTGGCGATATTTCCACAAGGATCCTTCAAGAAATTAATTTTATAGCGAATTTTGAAAATTATCGATCAAAATTGCAACATCGAAAATTTTATCAAAACTTCAAATATTGCTTTCTCAAAAACTAAAAGTTATTTTTCAAAACTGGTTGGTGCATTGAAAAGAGGACACTCTTATTTACACTTTGGAAAATTTTCAAACTCATATTCCAAGAAATCAATTTTATACGAATTTTTAAAACTTAATCGGCGAAAATTGCAAAATACGAAAAAATTGTCGATAATTTCAAAAATTTATTTGTCAAAAACTAAAACCGATTTTTCAAAACGGCTTGTTGCATTAAAAGAGGATACTTTAATTAATAATTGGTGATATTTCCACAAGGATCCTTCAAGAAATGAATTTTATAGCGAATTTTGAAAGTTATCGATGAAAATTGCAACATCCAAAATTTTATCAAAACTTGTTTTTCTCAAAAACGAACCGCTATTTTTCAAAACGGGTTGGTTCATTGGAAAGAAGACACTTTTATTAACACTTTGGGATATTTTGATATTCATATTCCAAGAACTGGATTTTATATGAATTTTTAAAACTTAAGCAGCGAAAATTGCAAAATTCGAAAAAATTGTCGATCACTTCAAAAATTTATTTCTCAAGAATAGAAAGTGATTTTTCAAAATGGCTTTTTGTGTTAAAAAGAAGATACTTTAATTAATAATTGGTGATATTTCCAAAAGGATTCTTCAAGAAATGTATTTTATAGCGAATTTTGAAAGTTATCGATGAAAATTGCAACATCGAAAATTTTATCAAAACTTCAAATATTGTTTTCTCAAAAGCCACAAGTTATTTTCCAAAACGGGTTGATTCATTGGAAAGATGACACTCTTATTAACAGTTTGAAAAATTTGCAAACTCATATTCCAAGTAATGGATTTTATACGAATTTTTAAAACTTAATCGGCGAAAATTACAAAATTCGAAAAAATTGTCGATAATTTCAAAAATTTATTTATCAAAAACTAAAACCGATTTTTCAAAACGGCTTGTTGCATTAAAAAGAGGATACTTTAATTAATAATTGGCGTTATTTCCACAAGGATCCTTTAAGAAATGAATTTTATAGCGAATTTTGAAAATTATCGATGAAAATTGCAAAATCGAAAATTTTATCAAAACTTCAAATTTTGTTTTTTCAAAAATTAAAAGCTATTTTTCAAAACGGGTTGGTTCATTGAAAAGAGGACACTTTTATTAACACTTTGGGAAATTTTCATACTCATATTCCATGAACTAGATTTTATACGAATTCTTAAAATTTAATCGGCGAAAATTGCAAAATTCGAAAAAAATCTCGATTATTTCAAAAATTTTTTTCTTAAGAACCGAAAGTGATTTTTCAAAACGGCTTATTGCATTAAAAAGAGAAATCTTTAATTAATAATTGGCGATATTTCCACAAGGATCCTTCAAGAAATTAATTTTTTAGCGAATTTTGTAAATTATCGATGAAAATTACAACATCGAAAATTTTATCAAAACTTCAAATATTGTTTTCTCAAAAACTAAAAGTTATTTTTCAAAACTGGTTGGTGCATTGGAAAGAGGACACTCTTATTTAGACTTTGGAAAATTTTCAAACTCATATTCCAAGATTGTATATATCGTATTGGGATTGTTGTAATGAGGTTACTAATGACAGTAATGACAAACCTGATATAAATACAGTTGTATTCAATGAGAAACGTCCTATTGGGGTTGAACTTGATTATTATCTGCAGTGTCCAATACCTAAAAGAGATACTAATTCCTGTGAATGGTGGAGTACTAAGATATTTCTCAGTGTCCATGTTACTGTTAGGGGTAGTTTTTGATATTAACGGTTGTCTAAAAATCCGCCTTCAAATTATCAATTTGTGTGTACAATCTAAAAAAAAATTCGCCCACCGGACATCAGATTCGTTATCACCGACCCCAAACACTCCTAAGGGTAACACGACTAATTGTATGAAAACTAGGAATCTAGGAACAACTAGGAATTTTATTTAATAAAATACCCCAAATTCACATTTTTGCTGTTTCCACATTCTAACGGTGTAGTTACACAAAAAAAAATTACACGATTGTTAAACACTGCAATAAAAATTTGATTTATTGCAGAAAGTTCACAAGTCACAAGTCGTGAATTGCGTTGTTTGGGTTAGTTTTCATAAAAAAGTTACGAGCGCGCCGAAAGAGTCATTAATTGCTATAAATAAATTAATGGTTAAGTTTTCCAATTAAGCTATTTTATTGAAGTGGCCTACTTAATTGAATTAATTAAATTATAAGAATAAAATTAATAGTTTTGAAGAAATTTAAACCGCAATTTAATCCCACCAATACTAGTTAAATTAAAAAAGACCCAACCAGGGTATAAGCCATAATTAATCTATATTTAAAATTGGTGTCTGCGTTCTATCTATAATACATAATTTAAGCCGTTTTTTTGTAATCAATAAGCGTTTTAAAAATGTATTAACCCACCCTGTGTACAAAAAAAATTATTAACGATTAAAAAGCTCGTAAAAGCTGTTAAATTCATAAACCAGATATAAACACACATCATCATTTAACTTTATATATATTTTTTTTTTCGGTTTTCTTTGTAATTTCTTATTTTTGCAGTTGAAGTTAGAGAAGAAGAAGACCAAGATTTTGTTGTTGTCACGAATGTAGATAGTAAAAATGGCCAGGTAAAAATATGAGTGGTTGTTGAGTTTTCATTTTTTTTAACTAAACCCTCTAACATTCAATTAAAAAAAATAACAATAAAATCGTGTTTTAAATGAGATAATTCTGCATTAATTGGCCGGCATCCAGTTTCAGTAAATTTACGATGTTACATAGATCCAAATCTATTATAATTACACGCGTTAATACACTCGTGTTTGAATTTCCTTTTGTATTCCTAAATTTCCCATCTCTTTCTGATCATATCGCCCATCTTATTCCTTCAATTTATCGTTTAATCTACCTTGTGCCATCGTGAACACAACAGAAATCCATTTGGACTGGGTTAATACTAACTCAAAAATACTTGTTACTTTGGAGTTGCGCCAAAAAGTTCTCTTTTAAAAGAACATTTGCTTCGCATCCTCGGCCCATTACAATGTGACAATGACTAATTACCGTTTGAATTAAGCCGTTTAAATTATTTAAATAAAATAACATTGTTTTTTGTTACTTTTACTAAAACGTTATGAGTACAAGAATGAGCGTAATAACAAATTTATATTTGAATAACCTAATCTTAGAGATCATTCGGATTCTATTTGTAAACAAGTTCACCCAACTTTAGTGTGCTTAGAACCGTTATTTTGGGGGTTTTACAACTTTATTTTGTCCTCGGCGATTTGTTGTGGATTGCAAACGTATAAACACGCCATTAATTTTATAAGGAACAGAAATGATGTTTCTTTAAACTTGAAATTTATGAATCTAAAAATGATTTTTTTATTTTTAGGTACCCCAACAGTTGACAGATCCCCAACCCCAACAATAATCCTCCTTCCATTCGGTAGAATGTTAGTAATCGACGGAAACGTAATAAGAAGAATCCAAACCGAAGAAGACGGCATCGATTTCATGGAATTGAGCGCAAATTTAATTCGCGCCCATCAAAGAAGATACGCGAGCACTCCTAGTATATTAGATTCGGATACAACCAGTAAAGGATTATCTCCGATCTCTTTAGGATACTCACCCCCATCTTATGAAGATATTTTCGGCGACAAAACCCTCGATTTACCACCGTCTTACAGCGAATTATCGCTTTTGTTCAAACAACGCCAGATACAAATGGGCGAATTAACCGAGTTGAGAAGTTTTCAAAGTACGGCCGTTAACAATAATAACAATAATAGTAACCGATTGGTTGAAGTACAAGAAACAAATTTAACTGAAATTGTCGTAGAAGAAACACCGATAAATAATAACGATGGTAACGAAAGTGTTGAAGGTGTTGTTGATATTTCAGTGCCTTGTGAATCATATCCTCAAGATTTTTCAATCGGAAATTGTAGGTATTGTATCATGAGTTTGGACAACGAACGTAGAGCGAAGATAAAGTGTTATTGTCGCGATGAACCGGAAATAAACGACGGACCTTGTTCTTCCGCGGACGCCGTTAGAGATTTTGATAAAGTGAAAAAAGACGAAACAAGCGATATGAAAGAGAGTAGATTGTAGTATGTTTAATAAAATTAAATTTAATTTCAATATGCCATATTTCTCTGTCAATTAGACGTTGAGCACAATAACGAATAGTCTTATTAAACCTCGAGGAAAAGAAAAATAAAGCATGTAAGAATATAAAAGATATAAAATAAAAGATAATGTTCGTGTAAATAATAGTTTTTAAATCGAAACGAATACGCCAAAGAATTTATTGAAATAAAATACAAGAAATTGTAAATAAGGAAATGTAAAAACGAAATTTTAGCTAAAAAAAATTGTGAACATCGATGCTTATAAATTTGTTTTTAAAATTGTTTAAATCTTGTTGGTTATTGCAAATGAAAAAATTAAATAAATAAATGAAACACATTAATTATTTCTTCCTAATAAAGTGATTTTGTCTTTAATTGGTGTATTTTTTGTACAATCTTAAGATGCAATATGCAAAAATATATATACTTTCTTTGTCCCACATAAAATGCAACATGCCTGAATGTTTTTAGTTCTAGGTCTAGTGGCTTTTGGCATTTTTTACAAACTTTTCGTGCAGGTCCTCTCTGAGATATATCAAAAACAGTTTCTTTTCTGCTTGATTCTGGCGAACGTTCTTCTTGAGGGCGTATTGACAAACTTTCAACAGTAGCTAGTACTGGGCGTCCCAACATGCTTTCAATTCGACTATGTAATGGATAATTTCGCCAGATTTATACATTTCTAAAGATAGACTTCTAAGACTAATTGTTTACCCAACTGTTACTGTACAGCAACTGATGTCTTGAAGTGTGAATTATTTTCCCCACAAATCACGAATGTTGTAAATGTACAGGGTGTCCCAATTTCGATGTCCGCATAGGCTATCTCCGAAACTAAAAGAGATAGAAAAAAAGTAGCTTACATGTCATGATCTCGTTTTTTGAGAAAATGCTAATGCCGAAAACTCCGAACAGCTATCGTCTTTTGTTTTCGCCCTATCGGCAAAAACTGAAAATTTTGCAAAAACGACAATCGCGAATATCTCACTTATTATCAAAGATTTTTTACGAAGAATTCAATGGCGTAGGTAGAATTTTTTTCCCATCTTTTATTTTCGAGATTTTAGGCGTAACTTTATTTTTTTTAATGGAAACCATAGTTGGCTATGACCTAAAATAATTTGTTATTTTCTTCTGATAACAAATATATATAGTTTGTGGGGTATATTTCTTATGGTTATTGAATAATTAACAAAAATTCATTTTGTTCCATCTAAAACTCATGTATGTATTTAAAAGTTAATGTTGCTATGGTGATCACCATACATACTATGATGGAATAAATATAATGTATCAAATAATTGCCAAAGTTTGTATTTAAAAATTCGATAACAACTCTGGCATTATGTGCTGGTACGATGCACCAGCATGTTAAGTATCAAAGTATAACAAAACTGAATAAAACTTTACACTGAATTTCGAAAATTATGAAAAATGTTACATGATAGAATGCTATATGTTATCAGATAAGAATGCGACGTTAGCCGCGGAATTTTATTTCACAAGATATCCAGAAAGAAGACAACCGCACGTACGAACCTTCAGCCGGTCAGCAGAAAATTTAATAGATATTTGGTCCTTCCCCAAACCACATACAAAAACATACCAAAATGACCTGCAAGAGAAATTGCAACAAGACGTCTGACCCAAAAGACGCTGCTCCCGAATATGAAAGAAAAATAAGTATAAACCATACAAAGCGGGGCTAACTCATTATTTACGTGCCGGAGATGTCAATCGAAGATTAGAATTTTGTAGATGATATTTAAAAAAATTAAATAATCTGCTGTTTGTTCAAAATGTAATCTGGACCGATGAAGTCTCTGAGTGTTCAAAGAAGATTGGGGTTCAATGTATGGTGTGCCCTTTTAGATAATAGAATTTTGGCATATAGTATCTACCATAAAAACTTAAACTCAGGGAAATACCTCAATATATTAAGGCAGCACATTGAGCCTTTGGTCGACAATTTGCCACTAAATATGTCTCAAATGATATATTTTCAATATGACGGAGCACCAGCACATAATGCCAGAGTTGTTAGTGAATTTTTAAATACTACTACAAACTCAAGGACAATAGAATCTAACAGGACTGCTACATCCATTGTTGTGACAGCCTACCCGCAAACTACGTCACACCATTTTCCACGCCCAGCTGTTGTTATGGTCTATGCGTTTGCTATGTGTTTTTGGAGGTTATATCCTAGACGTATTCATATTAGTTTTGAAGTTTTATGTTTTTAGACGTATTAATGTCTATCACATAACCTCTAAAAATATAAACAGTTACCAGACGTGGCAAATAGTGTGACGTAGAGTGCGGTCAACCAACCCGTAGTCGACTACAAAAATACAATGGACTAGCAGTCCTGTTAGATTCTACTGTCCTTGCTACAAACTTTGGCAATAATTGGAAACAATGCTTTCCCTCATAGTATGGTTATCACCATAACAACATTAAGTTTTAAATATATACAATAGTTTTAGAAAGAACAAAAAAAATGATACATTATATTCCATCATAGTATGTATGGTTATCACCATAGCAACATTAACTTTTAAATACATACATTAGATTTAGATGGAACAAAATGAATTTTTGTTAATTATTCAATAACTATAAGAAATATACCCCACAAACTATCTATATTTGTTATCAGAAAGAAATAACAAATTATTTTAGGTCATAGCCAACTATGGTTTCCATTTAAAAAAATAAAGTTACGTCTAAAATCTCGAAAATAAAAGATGGGAAAAAAATTCTACCTACGCCACTGAATTCTTCGTAAAAAATTGCCCATATAATGTTTTATTTATAATACTCCATCTTTGATAATAAGTAAGATATTCGCGATTGTCGTTTTTGCAAAGTTTTCAGTTTTTGCCGATAGGGCGAAAACAAAAGACGATAGCTGTTCGCAGTTTTCGGCATTAGCATTTTCTCGAAAAACAAGACCATGACATGTAAGCTACTTTTTTTCTATCTCTTTTAGTTTCGGAGATAGCCTATGTGGACATCGAAATTGGGACACCTGTACCCACATTTACAATGTTAGAAAAAAATCAAAGGCTAATAGCTTGGTGAAAACTGTAAATAAATAACGAAATAAATAAAAACTAAATAAGAAATTAAGTAATTAAGAAAAAATTATGCTTACCTTGTTTTATATTATTATTGCTGCAGCCACTATTTTAGTATATGTTGGAGGTTCTTCTTCTCTGTTGTCTGATGAGTTCAAATCCATCTTGTCCGTATTTTGCCTTACTCTATCAGCACTCGTTCCTCTTTGTCTTTGAATGTTGATGTCCAATGTCCAATTCCTATTTAGATTCTGGTAGAATTTTCTACCGTCCGACTATATTCTTACTTTCTTAATTCCCTCACTTCACCGTAAATGGCCTCTCTTTTTCCATCTATGAGTTGTTTACTTTTTCCCTCTTTCCTCCGTTTGTTTAGTTTTACGCATTTTTCATCAAATCAGTCCATTGAACTGTTCGCTGTTTTTTTCTCTATTTCTTAGCTCCGATTTATGTTCTCTTTATACGCTGTATTTCCGCTGCAATCTTTGAGGTTCTGTAGATTCAATTTCTCGTGTTTTTGTCTTGTTGTCGTTTTAATATTCATAATTCTTGCTCTGACCTTACTCACTACCAGCTAGTGATCAGAGTCGGCGTTAGCACCTTACTAGTTCTCCTACTACTCATACTACTTTTCGCATCTATTATGTCAGTTTCGTGTCTTACGTCAATAATGAAATGATCTAGCGTGTTGACCATATCTGGCTATCTGAGAATACCCACTTTCTCTTGTGAATGTCTTTGCGCACAAACCGTTTACTACCAATGACCATATTGATGGAGCCTCCATCATGGAGGCCGCAAAGGTTATTAGTCTACTGTCATTGGATTCCTTGTGTAAGCTATGTTTACAATAATAATAATAATAATAATAATAGTTCTTTATTCATACAATAAACATTACATGAAACGTCATTACAGTTACAATCATATCTTCACAAACAGATGGAGTACAAATAACAAACAAGTTAACAAACAACAAATANGTTAACAGTGTCGAATGCACGACTTAGGTCACAGCAGGTTATACTAGCCTTTCCATGATGATCGTGAGCTGTTGTGATCTCTTCAATAACTTTTACAATGGTTGTGATTGTAGATCGTATGATAGCTGATAGCGTTATGATAGCCATGCTGCGCATCATTCAAAATATCCTATTTCTTCAGATAGCTCATTAGCCTTTTCTTTATTAGCTCTTCGAGTTTTTTTACATGACAGGGAGTATTGAGATAGGCCGATAGTTTTCACAACAATTGTCGTCACCCTTTTTATATATTGGTGTTACTTTTGCGACCTTCAATTTGTCGGGAAATATGCCTTCGTCCAGACACCTATTAAAGATTTCAGCCAAAGGTATTGATGCACTTGCAGCTACAGTTTTGATTAACGCTGTGTTCATACCATAAACGTCTTCGCTTCTCTTCGATTTGATACCATTTATTATATCGACCACCTCGAGGTGGTTCGTCGCTGTAAAGAAACATGATTTAGAGTAGTCGTTTTGGTTATTTTTTAGGTAGGTGTTATAATTTCGTGTTGATGCAGTCATCCGTTCAAGGAGAACTTCGACATCACGTGCTAAATGTTCACTGAAATTGTGAGCCTGTATTTCGCTACCCAGATTTTTTTGTTTTGATTTCTGACGCTCATTATTAACAATACTCCACATGACTTTTTGTTTGTTATCTGCGGTTTCAATAGCTTTGATGTTGTTGGCTTTCCGTACAGATTCTAAACAACGATGATAATCTAGTTTGTACTGTTTATATCGGTCATATGCTTCTTCGCTTTTTTCCACAGATGCAATCATTCCCAGCAGGTTTAGGTTGTTTTTCTGTTTCTTTATATATTCCGGTAATTTATGAAAGCAGCTTTGTCGCTGGCTTTGAAATTTAGTTTTG